TGTATCGAATCACGTTTTAGTAAAAAGCTTGTGCTAGAGCTAATATATGTTCTGTTCCTAAAACATTTGTCTTGGTAAATGCATCATATAAAGCACTTAGTCTATATTTCAAAGGAGCTAGATTCGGATGATAGAGGAATTTCATGAATATGTTATTTCTCTAAACTTTCATCTCTTCATGCCTTCAGCATAACATGTAAAGGCAGGATTAAAAACCTTTCTTCTTTCCAATGCATATATATACCTTGTAACAATTTACGATACACTGGCCTATTTATAATTATCATGCAATTAGTTTTGGGATTATAGATGTTTTTGTGAGCTTTACCCTTGAGCTCACACTCTACCAGTTGGCCTGTTGTGTCTATAGCGTAAGTATAAAAAACCATTTATGACTTATCTTAATACCAAATAATTTAAATACACATTTTATTATAAAACACTGGAAATTATATGAAAAAAATATGAAAAGAAAACGCTGTCTTGTTAGTGGTTGTGTCAAATTTACAGATTCTACTACAGGGTGTTATCCTAAACACTCAGTCAGATTTCATTCATTAAATTATCAGATGAGACAAAAGTATGGAGCTGAGGCCCTTCAACCCGCAAAGACCTTTGAATTATCGAATGAGACTCTTCAACCTAGTGCTTCAATCTGGATAAAAATTGATAAATTCTTTCCTGTCCAGTCCGCGAATAGCAATGAGGAAGCTAGGTCTAACCATCGACAGATCAAAGCACTACTTCAACCTGAAGTAGCCTATGAAATATCAATTAAGGCCCATCAATACATAAGTACTTATGAATCTTCGGATGATGAAGACTTATCAGATAGGTTAGGATTATTTAATTGAGGTCCTCATTTTATTTCAACTCAGAATCCCTCTGAATTGTCTGCTGAGAAATGAGTAAAAAATATTATTAGAGCTTGAACCAGTATAAAAAAATATGAAGGCTTCTCCTGAATTATTATATAAAATATTAGAAGAAACCTTCATCTTAAAAATATGGTATCCTGACCGGAGTATGGTATAATTATATTAATATTTTATTGAAGGAAAACTTGCTATAGTCATATCGAGTATCTTTTTCATTTACCCAGTAAATTTCTTTTCCTGTTTGGTATGGAGATAACGCGGAGACATCTTTACTATCAAAAGATCCAACTAGATGGTAATGTCTATCATTCTTATCTATAGCCTTAAATTTCAATCTGTATATTGCATGTATTCAGTAAGCTGAGTTTCGCTCGAACTGTTATTAAGCCAGATTTTTAGTACTATGTGATGCTTCTGTGTTATCGAATACTCAAGCCATTTTGGGAACTAAATCCTGAAGATATGAAATCGATTCAGGAGTATTCAAGCACCTCTTGACATCATCGGATTTATATCTCGCCTATTATTAATATCTTTAGCAGGTGTATAAATTTTTAGTAATTCTAGGCAGATTCGATGCTTCTCAGCTCGAGTTGCGGTTGTGAGCCTATCTTCTCTATAATCTTTACGGGAAATAGCCTTAACAGCCATTTTATTGTCAGTATCAGCATCTCGTAACTGCCTATAAGCTCTGAACCATCTCATATGATTATAATCCCATACTTTGAAATGAAATCTTCGGTCAATGATTCTGGAGAAATCTCATAACATTCCACAATATGATGTCGGTCTAGAGATTGCATTTCTTTTAAGGTTTTCTTCAGCTTATTTTTCAAAAACTCAGCAGTCTCATGATTGACAATGGTAGTGTTAGATACATCTGATATTTCCTCTACTTTAACGATAGAACACTTTGCTTTTACCACTTGCGATAATGTATTTTCTTTAGATTTAGGATCAGATTCTTTGATCAAAACTTTCATGCCAGCTTTTCGAAGGAAATCAACCATCCTCTAACCAAATAAGTGCTGAGAACAGAATTTTTCCAACATATAGGCCACCCACAATCAAACAGTTAGTACATCCTTATTCTGGATGATAGAATCTATATCTGAAAATATTCCTCTATTCTGAAGTTCTCAGGGGAGACATTCACGTTTAGCATTTAATAATCATTGAAATAGCCCCTTTTCTGTGATAGGAATATTAGAAGATCTTTACTCAATATGACATATATAATCATTAATGCATTGCATGTGGAATAACATCTGATTCGTCTCAGCATTCATTTCTATATAACTGTTAAAGATGCAGAATGCTCGTTCAAACTTAGGATTAGTGCAAGACACTTCTATATTTAGAGTACTAGTATAGGCAACTAGGTCTACGTCTTTCTATGATTCTTCAACATTGCTAAAGTCATGAGCCTTTTCCACCAGATCAGACTTGCCGTGATATTCCTTGATTCGTAATTCTGGAAAACCAGTCTTAAGAGCACGAACAATCCCTTGCATGTCTTTTTTAAGGTAATAGATGAGCGATGCGCTAGTTCGTTTCTCAGAAGGTAGTAAAGATATTTGCCTAGTCCAATCCCAGAGTTCGGCTAACACAGTTTCTTTATTAGAGGCTAGGCAGAATATCTTATTTTTCTGGGATTGAAAAGTGTTATGGATAATAAAGAATAGTTTATTCTTACGAAGGGCTTTAATCTATTCAATATTAAGATTGATGAGATCATTATCCATGATGATAATACGTCTTGCATCTTGAATCAATTTATATAACTTTTTTATCGATTGTCTGACCAAATGACTCTGCGTTTAAGCAATTATAGACACTATTTCATCAAGCATAAATCATATTGGCTCAGACGACATTTACATTTTTTATTATATTTATAATTATTAGTAGTGCGATATAAGCTCTCTATCTGACAAACTACTCTCTTATGATCAGGTAGATTTATATTACTATCAATATCGCAATATGACTTAAGATTAAGTCTCGTAATAACAGCGTTTAAATAAAAGTGACATGTGAATAATACTAGCAAATTTACGTAGTTAGGAATAGACAAATTTTCAAGAATATATGTTTTTCCTGTTTCCCAAGGTGACCCTACATAAATGTCACCTTCATTGGGTAATGGCCTTACATATCTCTTCTCATACGTTTCTGTTGCTGTAAAGGGCTCATTATATTTGATACAAAATGGCATTTTTACGAAGGCTTTAGGGAAACTTGGGTCTTTTACCTTGCAAGATGTGGGTGATAAATTTTTATTTTCTTGCTGGATTTTTTCTGCGATAGATGGATCACATTCAAAAACTTCTCCAGATTCATCACTATTTTGCCAGAAATATTTTACAATGAATGTTCCACTAGTGATATATACACAGCTGAACTATCGCTGATCCTTGTCATATATACGTTTACATAGTGAACACTTTAGTAGGACTTTCTGATTAAAATATACAAAGTTTTCTGAATCCTTTTCTTCTATAATCCAATCCCTAAGATAGTTAGAATGCTTTTGCAAAACTAGGTTTGCGCATTTTTATAATATATCTTGACCTACGATTATTCTTAGTGAATTGTTATTTTTTTCTGTGCTAAGTAATCGGGGTCTTACTTCAAGCCTTAAGCTAGTAGGTGGTTGAACTCTAGTATGATTGAGGCTATTCCACCCATTATCTAGTGAGAATTGAAGAATGCGCTTTACACAACCTTTTTTTGCTGAACTGATAAGGCGAAGGTTAAAATTCTGGTCAGGTAATCCTCAATCAATATACTTACCAAATTTTTTCTCAGTTAAGGTATATATTAATTTTGTGAATGCTTTAAGTTCGTTATGAACAATAAGTAGAACTGATGCATATAAAATATGATAACTATATTTACTAAGATCTGAAGACGTAGCAATTACTAATCCTTTAAAAATATCTTTCTAACTGTAGTCAAGAATTCGATACAAGGCTCTTATAAAAGAGCAACAGATTCGAATAAATACTTCCTGTCCCTTAACACTAGCTGTTTCTATATTTTCTTTTGACGCATCGATATCAATCACAGCTCTTAAAGGTTTTTGGTCATTAATACATTTGTAAATCCCGGGTAATCTATATACTTCTGAAATATCATCTGCAATGGAAAACTTCGGAGCTCGATCACCCTCTTGATTGATTTTGATAAGTAATTTATCTTCTACTTCATTACAGTCATAAGCGTTATATAAACTAGAGTCTTTTTCATTTGAAAAGAGGAATAAATAGATTGGGAGATAATCCAATGACCCTTTATCATTTGATATATCTCTAGGTGGTGACGAGAAAATTTTTTGGATTATATCTAACAAGTCCTTGAGAGTAAAATTGTTATTGAAGTTTTCTTTCCTTAAAGAATAAATTGCATATGGCTGAACTAACGAAGTCCTGGTAGTGCTGGTTGAAGTGCAGGAAGTTTCTTCACTATCTGACTTATAATTAGACTCATAGTTATTATAATTATCTGATTCTGAATTAGAATTATCACTGGCTAAGTTTAATTCTATACTTTTTGACTACCTATTTACCATCAAGAGCGGAGACTGAGGTATTATACTTCTCAGAGGTGTAATAAGCATTATTATGGCTAGCCTATTCATTTGCCAGAAGTGTGCACCTTGTAACCAAAGCAACTATTGCCTATTAGTTGCCAGTATATGTATGCCAATTTCACGTCTAAAGTTGGAGATGCAATATGTATTATTGTGATCAACTCATTTATACCATACCCGAATACATGTCTAGAAAGATAAAGGCTTCTCCCAATATTTTATATAATAATTACAGAGAAGCCTTCACTTTTAGATGTATATCCGCTTGCCTTTCTTTTTTGATTCTCCATCTAAGTTTGCTATCGCTTTTTTGCATCTATCAAAAAAATAATTAAACATTTTAAAAATATATTAGAGTATATAAAGTTTTTCCTACTGACGACATGCATACCTCAACTATTTCTGACTAAACTTATCACACCGGAACTGCTCCAACCCTCTGCTATGATGACGCTAGCTCTGATGAATATTTAAGTGACTCAAATAGTTATACTAGTGATATTGTGTAAGCCATCTAATGTGATCTGTCATCCTGTTGTAGCAAGACCAGCTTTTAAACCATATCGTTCAAAATCTTCTTTATTAGTTTTGAGGAAAGCATGACCATTAATTTTTTTGTGAGTTTCAGGAATATTCTGAAAATGTTCCTGTCACTAGCCCGTAACTATAAAAGGGTATTCGGTACTGTAACAGGATAATGTGACTGGCATAGTAACGCATAGTATAAAATCGGCCAACACATAAATTCAGTCAGATCCTTAAACATAATAATTCAGCATCCAAGCTGACAAACTGCCAGTTCTATGACACTTCCATGATAGTTCCTTACTAGTTCTATGATAGCTCCACAGTAGTTCTAGAACACTATCAAGTCACCATTATAGTGTCAAGCTGGGTCTTACAAATCATGTGCCAAAAAGATTAGCCGAAATTATAGTATAGTGCCAGCCAAATTTAGACGTAGATTTATATTAAATTACTGCGCCACCTGACACCATATTTTTTTTTACCACATTTTAGCATCTAGAAAGGCAACCAAATAGGCACAAAAAAAGTAAATACCTCGATATAAAATCTGATACCCAAACAGTCGCAAAAGACCAGCACCTTCAATATGGAACTAGAGTTCCAAATGAGTAAAAAAGACCATCTTCTCAATATAGAACCTGGATTTTAAATAGGTACAGAAGGTCAGCATTTACAATATAAAATTTGATGAGTAAGTAGGTTAAGAGTAAAAAGCAAAGTGATACCTCTAGATTATAAGGATACCATTAGATTATATGGTAATGTTACCTTTAGACTATATGGTACAATTTAAATATAGCAGAAATTACTTAAAAGAATAACTAGAAAGCCATAGAGACACTCAAAAATAGATTATAATGATACCGTTAGATTATATTATTAGATTATATGATTACCATTAGATTATTTTATTAGATTATAGGCTACTATCAGATTATAGGTTACCACTAGATCATAAGTTACTATCGGATTATAGGTTGCTATTAGATTATAAGTTACCATCAGATTGTAAGTTACCATTAGATTATTTTATTAGATTATAGGCTACTATCAGATTATAGGCTACCACTAGATCATAAGTTACCATCAGATTATAGGTTACTATTAGATTATAAGTTACCATCAGATTGTAAATTACCATTAGATCACAGGTTACCATATAATCTAGAGTAAGTAGCCGGTACCATGTGATATAAATTATACAGTGCATACAACTTAGTTCTAACAAATAAATTTAACAAAATTCAAATTGCTAATCCTCACTCAAAAAAAATAATAAATATAAAATGTAACTATAGAATGATAGAGTAGCTTAAGCTTAACAAAACTATAGTGTTAGATTTTTTATAAAATGATTTTT